CCTCGTTTTTGTCTTATGGTCAAACTTTTTCGTTTAGGTGCTTTTCTGGCTTCAGTGGCCCAACATGTAATGAAACATCATGTGCAGAAGTCCATAACTGCACTGACCATGGAGAATGTATTGATGCTAACCTTTGTAATTGTACCATTGGATACTCTGGGTATGACTGTAGCAACTTCTCCTGTGAGGTGCTGAACTTCTGTTCAGGTATTTCGCAAATGACTTGTATATACACTACAGGGCTGGTTCAGGGGAGATGAGTGGATTCGGTGGCTATTAACCAATCCACTTTTGGAGTTAAAAAATACTGAATAAATATCTGGATAAGGTAAAGTAAAACCAAAAAGGACGCTATTGATGCCTTTCTAGGTAACAGCCACCCCATCGAAATATAGAATAGCGTCTACCTTAGATGCTTAGTCTCTTATCAAATATATACTGTACATACATCAATCAAAAAAAAAGTTAGCGGAACGCAGCTACTGCAATCAGAATTTTGAAGACAATATTCTTTAAAAAACGCTTTTATGTGACCTTGAAAAAACTGGGCGCCGTCGCTTTCACCATTTCTTCGATGACTTCAATATCAAAAGATTTTGAGACAAGATTCATTCTGACTCTTTTAGGACGTGGTGAATGCATCGATTATAATGTTTGCAAGTGTTCAGGCCTGTGGTATGGAATCGCCTGTACCATTCCAAACTGTACTGCTTATAAAAACTGTTCTCAAAAAGGAGACTGCATCGCACCAAACACTTGTGAATGCTACCGGGGATACGATGGCAAGTACTGTGATCAACCGGCGCCACCAAATCTGCATTCCCCAATTTTTAACGTCACCGTTCTTAACTTTGCTTTAAACGAGAGTTTACCTGCCGGAACACCGATAGGAATGATCGTCGCTAACGATTCTGATACCGGTCGCAATGGAAAAATCCTGTATTCTCTTGTTTCAAATAGGTATAGTCGTTTATTTCTATTAAACAGCTTCTCAGGAGCTCTGTCATCGGGAGTAGTTTTCGACTATGAAACTCTTCAAAATGCAACTTTCAAAATCGAGGTAATTGCATCAGACGACGGATTTCCGCAAAAGTTCACCAAAACAAATGTATTTATAACGGTTAGAAACGTGAACGATAACTGTCCAGTCTTTAATGGGTATCCAACCACCATTGATAAAACAATGCTGCACATTGATGATTCGAATTTTGAGCTATTCTCGGTGGTTGCCACTGACGCTGACAGTGACGAATATGGATATGTGACCTATGGCATTACCCCACCAAGTATGCAGCGCTATTTTGCTATCGATCCMTACAATGGCACGATTATTGTGAAGGAGGTACTTCAACCAGATGTATATGTCTTTGATGTTGTTGCAACAGACTATGGAGACCCTCCCTGCGAATCAAAGAAGGCTGTAAAGCTGACTGTTCTTTCGACCGAGGATAAAAAGCCTACCACCGAACAACCATCGACAACTACAACATCTACCAAACCTACGACTGCGAAAACAACAACAGAAGAAACAGTGAAACCTAAATCCACAGGTATCTTTCACTCCCTTTTCCTCAAATGTTTTTTAAAATATTTAGTTCTTTTTGTGCTTGGTGAATTATTCAAGATGTAAATTACGTTTCTTTATCAAGATGAAAAATATGATCTTGATGAAAATATAATTTACATCTTTTCTCCTTTCCTTCCTCCCTTGCTTCTTCTCTCGCAGTATACATTCTTCTCTTTCTCTAGCTCTTTGCATTTTGATTCTCGAATACTCCAGTTTCGAAAATGAGTCTGTAATCGAGGAACACAGCGGTAACCTGGAAATCGAAACTGGACATTTTTTTAATTTTTTCAATTACAAATTTTAATCATTTGTTCGTTTGGTCACTTGTTTATTTATTATTTCATTCATTTAAACCTTTTGCTTCACACTTTAACTAACGCATTTAATTTACTTCTTGGTAGATGAAAAAGCAACGAGTACATCAGCCATACCTTCCTTTTCAACGACAGAAACAGCAACGATTATAGCTCAAGCGACCAAAAAACCTGTGTCCACTAGTGATACAGTAAAGGTTGTTCTTTTTGTTGCATTGGGTGCCATTTTTGTTGTGACTGTTTTTGCCATATTGCTATGGAGATTTTGTTGTCGCAAGACACCTCCCCGCAAAGTACATGCTGGCAGACATAACGAAGGATTGGATGAGGTACCAATGGAACCTATCCAACAGCGAAGACCCGCCATAGATACTTGGCTAGAACGAAGCTGAAGTGCAGTACATTCTCTTGTTTTAGCTGACGCATAATGCATTTATATAAGCTTTGTAAATAAGCAAAGGCTATGGTAGGAGGTATAAACTGTTAAAGCATCAATTGTAGGTTAGGATAGTATTTACAAAAGTCCTAGCGAGAGTCTCACAGCTAGGAGTATGTACTTTGTGCGTGGGTAGAGAGAGGGAGGGGTAGGTGCTCCTTCTATAAGGAAGTTCCTAAGCTCTTTAACCCCACTTCTCTGTCCTTTCCCAACATTTTCTTAGATAGAAGAGTATTATAAACACGTGTAAGCTGAGGAAATTGGTCTTAAATAAATATCTAAAGTCTTGATTGTAATTCATGGTATTATTCATCAGAAATGTATGGTAGTGAATATTAATGAAATTATCATCGATCAAACCCAGTTATGGACAACTGTAAGATTCCTCGCAGTACTCTTATTGTGGATTAAAATTATAAGACTCAGGATCACAGGTTTTTAAATCTGCTGAAAATGTTGTAGTTTTCCCATACAATAAAATGTAGCATCGAATTCACCGATATTAGTGGAATAAGAGTGACTAGTATAGCAACATTTTTTTCAACTAACCATCTTGAAATGTTTAGTTTTTTTTTGTGGTAATTGGATCAAAAAGGYCCTATGTGCCATGAGGCGCCGAAGAGCATAGGTAACAGGTAATTGGATCAAACATCACTGACTTCGCTTCGCGTTGGTTCGCAATCAAATCATAAACGGGTTCCGGTGTAACTAAGACAGGTGAAGCTTAAAATCTTTCAAAATAATCTGTTTTTGAAGTTGAACCGGTAAGTTTTAACTACGAGGGACGTGCTTGCTATTCTTCTTGAAAATTATGTTGAAGAATAGCTTTGTATTCTGATATGGAAAAGTAGGCTTTAATCCATATGTTTCGCTGCATGAACAGACAAAAGACTGAAAAAGAAAAAAGCCCATAACGTACCCTTATGTCTGAAAGTGGCATTGGCATTTCCAGAAAGCAAGTAAGTATTAACTAAAAAATAATAATAATCAATTCAATTGATTCTAAGCTATATTAGTTTCGACATATTCGGTTGATGCCGATGTTGATGGTTGTGGTGAAGATGATGTGCTTGATGCTGTTGCCCCTGTTGCCGATACTGTAAGAGGCAGCGATGAAAATGTAGTTAATGATGTCATTTTCCCTGATGCCGTTGCTGATGCTATTACTGATGATGATGATGGTGTCCCTGTTGCAGATAGGGATACTGTTGCTTGTGGTGAAGATGATGTGCTTGATGTTGTTGTCCCTGTTGCCAATACTTTTAGAGGTGCGGCTGCGGTTGTTGTTTGGCTTGCTGTTGACGATGGTGTTGTGGTAGTTATTGTTCTTGTTGTTTCTGATACTTATGATGCTGTAATTGCGTCCTTGATGATGCATGCTGTTACGAACGACCTCTTCCACTCCTAGCATATAAATTTCAATGCTATTTGCCTTTTCCTTGAACGCCCAATGCATGGAGGTTTTTTAAAGCAAGAACATAGCTGAGGCTCTTTGCAGCGTGTTTTTTTCAGTTTAGACAACCCGATAGACATGTTGAACTGATAGTTTTCTGCAAGAGACGAATCGTAGGCAGAATTTTACATGGTGTTTCCCTTTTGAGAATGTTTTACAACACATAAGCCTTTGGCATTCGAGATTCGTGAAATCACAACGATATGTAGAAAAATCAAGCGARCAGCTCGAATAAATGAAGACTGCATGGGCATTTAAGTGTCCGGATAAAAAGACAAAATCAACAAACTATTAAAAACAATTCAGCAACATTCTAAATTTTTCTCTCCCTGTAATATAGAATCAAGTAAGCATACCGTCTTATAGCTCTGTACCGGTAGCAGGATACTAACTCATTGCGTAATGGTAGTGCTTCGCACTTTTGTGGGATTCCGGCTCATAGCTCTGTACCAGAAGCAGGATACTATGAATGGCGTAGTGGTAGTGCCTCCCACTTTTGTGGGATTCCGGC